ACAACGATGCACTGGTTGTCACCCTCCACATCAAGGACTATGACGTCAAGCGAATTCTGATAGACCAAGGTAGCTCGTGTGAGATAATGTACTACGACACCTTCAAACAACTGAAATTGGAGGACATAGACCTGGCACCAGCTGTATCCCCCTGATCGGATTCAACTCAATGCCAGAATGGCCAGTTGGCAAAATTATCCTGCCAGTCAGGGCAGGGAGCATGACAAAACAAGTGGAATTTTGGATGTTGAAGGTCCCTTCCACTTACAACATAATCTTGGGAAGAACATGGCTCCATGCCATGAAATCAGTAGCATCATCCTACCATCAAGTAATGCGGTTCCCCAACGGAACCGGAGTAATTGAAGAGGTCTTTGGAGACCAGATTATGCCCAGGTAAGCTTTGTCACAACTAATGGCAGCCGCGCTGCAAGGGATATGTTCATTCGGTGGAAGAACCTGAGAGTAATGAACTGTTCGCAGATGTCGGCAGAACAGCTGATCAAAAAGCGGTGAAAGATTTGTTAGAGGTAAGAATAGATGAAAAGAACCTGGAAAAGTTCTTTTTGCTCGGTTCGTCGTTGTCCAGCACTGAGAGATTAGAGGTCTTGGAATTCTTGACCTCTAACATCGAAGTGTTCGCCTGGACACCCTACGACATGCTAGGCATTGATCCAAACTTCATCTGTCACAACTCAATGTCACACCATCTGCCAAACCAATCATTCAGCGCACTCGCAGATCGGCACTCCACCACGCCGAGATAGTGGCGGAAGAGGTGGGAAATTTGCTAGAGGTAGGAGCTATCAGAGAGGTGCACTACCCCAGATGGATTTCCAACACAGTCGTGGTACCAAAGAAGAATGGCAAATGGCGTGTCTGCGTCGACTATAAGACAGTTAACAAAGCATGCCCAAATGACAGCTTTCCCCTACCACAGGATAGATCAATTGGTAGACTTAACAGCGGGGCACAACCGGCTTAGCTTTCTGGATGCGTACAGAGGCTACCATCAGATTGCCATGTACGAACCAGACCAGGGGGTCACGTCCTTTACCACTCCAAGAGGACTGTATTGCTATAAGGTTATGCCCTTTGGCCTAAAGAACGCAGGGGCAACATTCCAGAGAATGGTCACCAAGATGTTTGAGCCGTTGTTAGGCAGAACAATGGAGGCTTACATCGACGACATGGTGGTCAAAAGCAAGGACGAGAACGACCATCTAAGGGACCTAGGTGAGATGTTCCAGATTTTGAAGAAACACAAGTTGCGCCTTAATACATCTAAGTGCGCGTTTGGTGTAGGATCTGGAAAATTCCTGGG